AAAATAAACATAAGTGTGTGGCACAATAATTAAAATAAACATAAGTGTGTACCACAAGTCAAAGTTTATAAATTGCAGAATCCAGGCCTCTAAAGAACTAACACCCTACAAATTGGACCCCAAAAGGAAATAAGTTTACAGGCCTAGAATAGGCACAAAGAAAGCTAATCCAAAAATAAATAAAATCAGGAGGGCCAGTAAAAGTTCTAGTCCCGACTGAAAATCCAGCCTTGAGACAAAGTGATGTCTCTATTACTCTACAGGGAATTGTGGACTTTCCTTCTTACTTCATCTTGACCTTCAGCCATTTCTTTGCTCTTCAGCACTACTGAGAATTTCCAAAACGAATTCCAGAAAGTTTCTTAATACAAGTTAATGCAAGTCTTTCATTCCATAATTAGAATTAAGCTTTTAAATGAAGATGATGATTTAAGACACTCACTTAAATTCACATTACAAACTTCACAACTGATACGGGAGCCCCCCTGGGCAGAGGAGTGTTGCTTTGGTGAGGAATGGAGGTGGTTCATACCCTGAGGGAAGGGGAAACAATATGGGATGCATGTTACATAAGAAAACTGAGTTCCTGAACATGGGAAGAAGGTGAAATCAGGAAGTGAGGACTAAGTGAAGAGATATTTGTTCACCTACAGTCACAGCAGCATTATTCACAGTAGCCAAAAGGTAGGAGCAACCCAAGTGTCCATCAGCAGATGAAGGGATAAACAAAATGTGGCATACACATGCAATGGAATATTACTGTCTTTTTAAAAGAAGGAAAGTCTGATATATGCTACAACATGAATGAACCTTGAAGACAATATTCTAAGTGAAATAAGCCAGGCACAAAGGGACAAATACAGTGTGATTCCACTTACATGAGGTACCTAGGGTACAAATTATTAGAAACAGAAAGTAGAATGGTGGTTGCCAAGGGCTCGGGGAAGAAGAAGTTATGCTTTAGTGGGTAACAATTTCAGTTTTGCAAGATGAAAAGAGTTCTAGAAGTGGATAGTGGTTATGGTTGCACATAATATGAAAATACTTAAATACCACTGAATAGTTGAAAACAGTTAAGACAGTGAATTTTACGTTATGTGTATTTTATCACAATTAACAGACATAAAGGGAGAAATTGATGGGAACACAATCACAGTAAGAGAGTTTTTACACCTCATTAACATCATCCAGAAAGAAAATCAATAAGGTAACAGAGATACTAAATGACACAATTAAACAGTTGGACTTGATATTTTTAGGACATTACATCCCCAAAAAACAGAATATATATTCTATTCAAGTGCACATGGAACATTCTCTAGGATAGATCATATACTCAGGCACAAAAGAAGCCTCAACAAATTTAAGAGGGTAGAAATTATTTCAAGCACCTTTTCTGATGTAGTTTGGTGAAGCCATTATGTAAAACAGTATGGAGATTCCTCAAAAAACTAAAAACAGACTTACCATATGATACAGCAATCCTACTCCTAGGTATATACCCAGAGAGAACTCTAATTTGAAAAGATACATACACCCCGACATTCATAGCAGCACTATATACAATAGCCAAGAGATGGACACAACCTAAATGTTCATCAACAGATGACTGGATAAAGAAATTGTGATATGTTTATACAATGGAATACAACTCAGCAATAAAAAAAGAATAAAATAATGCCATTTGCAGCAACATGGATGGACCTAGAGATCATCATTCTAAGTAAACCAGAAAGAGAAAGAAAAATACCACATGACATCACTCATATGTAGAATCTAAAAAAAAAAAAAAAAAAAAGAAAAAGAAGAAAAGTGACACTATGAACTAATCTACAAAATAGAAACAGACTTGCAGACACAGTAAATAATTTTATGGTTACCAGGGGAAAGGGGGTGGGAAGGGATAAATTTAGGAGTTTGAGATTTGCAAAGGTTAACCACTATATATAAAAATAGATAAAAAGCAAATTTCTTCTGTATCGCACAGAGAACTATATTCAATATTTTACAATGAACTTTAATGAAAATGAATATATGTGTATATGCATGACTGGGACATTGTGCTGTACACCAGAAACTGACACATTGTAACTGACTATACTTCAGTTTAAAAAAAAGAGAAATATGTTATTTTTAACCAAACTCAACAACTTCTAAGTTTAAAATAAGAGAGAAGAGAAGCAACTTGTTGACTTCATGACTTTGCCTAGGTCTTCTCCTACTTATGCCACCAAAGGGCTAGAGAGAAAGGGAACTCTTTAACTGACTTTACTTTTTTTAGAATAGTTTTAGGTTCACAGAAAAATTGAAAGTACAGAGATTTCCCATGTTCCCCTACCCCACACAGGCAGAGCCTCCCCATTATCGATAGATATCCCCACCCGAGTGGGATGTAAGTTATAACTGATGAATCTTCCTTGTCACATCATAGTCACCCCAAGTCCATGGTTTACATTAGGGTTCACTCTTGGTGGTGTACATTCTATGGGTTTGGAGGGAAATGTTTTTTAAATTATTTATGTATATTAAATTATTCACAATAACTCTATTGCATTAGAGGCCAAAATCCACAAGTGTATTAAATGTGCGTTAAAGTAACAGAAATGGTGTAAACATTTGCTACTCAAAGCCTGGTCTGAAGAGCAGCAGCCACCACATCCCCTTGGGAGTTTGTTAGAAATGCAGAAGCTCAGGCCCATCCCAGACCTACGGAATCAGAATCTGCACTTACCAAGATTCCCAGGTGATTCATTGTCCATAAAGGTAAAGACGCACTGTTGTAAACTATTCAGAACTGCTTGATCAGTTGAGACGGAAGGAAAACATGTTATTAAAGCTGCATTATTGTACTGTGAGTCAAACTGAGGGAAAGGTCCGTGTTTTACTATTAAGTTCTTGAGAATGATTAAAGCCAAATCCATCTATTGTCTTGAACATAAAAAATTCTTACACCACAATTTTCATCCAGTATGTCACTGACAGTGTTCTTTGAAGACTGTAAATAGCCAAATAGTAGCTTTTATGAAAGCAGAATAAGTAAAAGCAGCAAAGAAGCAAGCACAACGCTCTCACTGAGGGGCTGATGGTAGATTTGGTAGGTCTGCAGTTCCAAGAATTCATCATTAGAGCAGAACTAATGCACGGCATGATAATAAATTCGCCAAGGAAAGTACTGACCCTCATAAATGTTCAAAAACAATAAAAACTCTGGTCACTGGTAATGTGAGAAAAACCACTAACACCCACAGCCAACTGGATTCACTTAATGAGATTAAAATGACATATAGAGAGGACAGAAAAGACATACAAAGTGTTCACTGAACACAAAAGGGTAAAAATGTTGACAAATGTATGTATTCCAAATACTAAAATAGAGTAAGAAAAAGAGACAAATCTATGTTTGGATTGTTAAAGCCTTGTCAATGGGATTTTTTATGTAGGTTTATTCTAATGCGTTTTCCCTCATTACCTCTACAGTAATTAGGTACAATGCTAAGTTTACACTTAACATAAAAAATAAATTCCTGATAGAAAAATAAAAATTAATAACTATATAGGTAAAACAAAGATGACTGGGGCGGGGCGCTGTGCAGTAGGGGCAGAGGGGCACTGCAGGGAGGTTCTGTCTCTGACCCCAGGGCTTCGTGGCTGGAAAATATTTTTCCACTTAATGATAATCTTCAACAGTTATTGGGCTCTCTGCCCGCTTTCTCTGGCAAATTTCCATTCACTCTGGCTTTTGCAATAGTAAAAATAACTAAATTTGACTCAACAAAACCAAGTATTACTTTACAAGTACAAACTGAAAATCAGTCTACAGTTTGGCTTGTTGTTTTTGAAATTGATGCTAATTTTAAACAACAACTCAGAGAACCCCTTGAGACTTACATGAGCTCATCAGTAGCAAAAAGATCATTTTAAAATAATTTGTAATCTTTTCCAGAGCAAGAAAGAAACTCTTCAAACCGCTAAATTTCTTGGCACATTCCACATGCCCACCTAGTGGTCTTGTTACCCAGACAAGAGGAGAGCTGGAAGTAAAACTTCACTTCATGGCAAACTTATAGGCGGGAAATTTGGCTCATTATCTTCTGTGCTGAAATGACTATAACATCTTATAATTTGATTCGAGGTCCACAGGTGAGATCTTCAGGGATGAATTTCACACTTTGATACATGTCTTACTCTCACTCTGTCAATCGTATAGAACAACAGTTAACATCTTGTTGAGCAGAATAGGATGATAATGAACTTAAAACCGAGGGGAAAGTTTTAAGAATCAAGAAGCCACCCTTACACTCTGACAAAACATCTGCAGGTTTCAGCAACTGTCCACTGAAGCAATTGGAACAGTCAATGCTTTTTCTCTTGGAAGAGAGTGACACTGAAAACCTTTGATGCTGGTGAAAATGTGACGCACATAAAGCTGAGACTCCCATAAATGCCTGCCGTCACCAGTCCCTAGGAAATAGCAAAGTAACAAGGAGCTGAAAGGGGGTTCAATCACGTACCATCATGGTTTGAACTGACTGCACCTTAGAAGAGAACCTGCTCTGTGGCCCCCAGCCACCTGAAAGTCATAGGATCAACGTTCAACCTGGAAAGGCAGCCTGAGGTCCCGCACACACAACCCCATTGGGGAAGGAACTGGGACCCAGAGAGTTGAGAGATCCCTTCCAAGAACCCACGTCATCATATAAATGATATCACACTTGATTGCTCTTCAGATTAATTCAGCTTTGTCCAATCACATGAAATGAAGATTCTATAAACATAATAATCTTCCATATGTTCTCCTTAGAGTTACTTTTGCCTCAGTCTTGAATAGCTAATTTTAAATAGCCTCTAAAATGCACAACTAAAGCATTATACGCATTCTCCTGTGGCCCCCAGCAACCATTAAGAGCCCTTGAAAATACACAGAACATAGAAAAATAAAGAACACATTTCATGGACACTAGCTTTTTCACCTAGACAAAGAAACTATTTACTTCAGCAAATACTCGGTCTTTTAGAAGACAGTGTCAATTTTATTGCTTTTTGAAATGCTAGGTAAAACCTGAAACTTGACAATTTGCACATAAGCAATTTCCATCTTAAGTTTAAATATATTTATGTGCTGAGGGAAAGTACATGCATACAAATAGAATTTTTTTAAATCACCATCATTTACATTAGAAATTTCTTGATACAAACATCTTTTTCTTTAAAAAAAAATTAGTGACTGGTTAAGAATCCTCTGAGACTGCAGAAAATCCAGCTTTCCATTTAAGCAGCCTTTCACTGGGAGACGTGAGTGATGGCAGATGAAGGCCTCTTAAGAATAGACTCAACAGAAAATGACAGGGGTTCATTCACTGAGAGTTTTGTTCCAACTTGTTTGGCTACGAAAAGGTCTTTGGCGCATCTATCTATTGTAAATGTGTACTTCTGATTCTCCTTGACTAAACACTCTCTGGGTTTCTTAGGGGCTTCTTCAAAGGCCTCTTTGACAGATGATGTTTTCAATTCAGGACCTGATTTGTCATTAAGAGTTTGCTGGAATAATGAGTGGAATGGATTATGTTTAAGTGGTAGAGGGTGCTTGGTGCTTTCTTTGCTGATCTTGGTTAAGACGTGCCCTTGAGCTGCCAGGGAGTCCGCGTCAACAATCGGCGAGAAATTCCGTCGGGGTGGGGAGAATGCAGACCTTTCGGGGACAGCTAGGTGACCCTGAAGGTCATTTCTAGGGGTCTGGCCCTCAAGAGTGTGAGGTAGCACCAGAGAGCCCTCCAATTTTGGTGGCATCAGATCGTGTTCTGCTCCAAGTCCATCCTGGAGTCGTACTCCCTTCAAGTCCCAGCTGGCCCCAGGCTTCAGGGCCTGAACTGACGTGGTAGCATTTAGCAGGCATTGCTGGTAGAGGAGGGTGTCACTAATGGGGCCACACTTGGGCCAAACTAAAAATCTCGAGGACAGGGGATATTGTCTGTAAGTCGTGGCCACACTGACGTTGGAAGAAATTAGTTCCATATTCCCAGACCCCGAATACTGCATGGTTAAATCAAGGCAAGTGGGGAGAAAGTTGCAGAAGTCTTTGCCTGGTGGTTCCACCGGGCTGGGACCGTAGGCACTTTTGTAGGAGTTGTACTCAGGACCATGTACCATGCGGTTGGGCAGGAACAAGGCAGCAGCTTGGGATGCTTCCAACATCTCCCTCTCTTTATATTCTCTCTCCAGCATGATGTTCTCCAACTCTTTATCTGCAAAGGCCCGCCTCTTCCTCATCCGGTCACTTACTGGGGGAGGGAGCGGTAAACTCCCTCCCATATAAGTCTCTGCTGGAAGAGGGCGGTAGCCTAAAATAAGCATTGCACATGAAAGAGATTAACATCTAATGAGGAAAAACCTGGAAATCCAGAAGGCAAAAGAAACACTGCAGACTGGCAGAACAGTTATTTACAGTTCCATATCACTGTTATTTTCATACAGGAACAAAAGTATGGGTTCAATTTCAAATAGATCCTTTTGGGGGAAGGATATCCATAATGTAATTTTTTGTTATTGTTGTTTTTGTTGTTACGTATTTGTTTGTTTTCTTTGACAGGCATTAGTTTACTGGCTGAAATTTTAATATTCTTCCCAGGATCCTATACATTAAGGGATAAGGCTGCTCATCTTATTTCAATCAAGTTTAACACTATCCATGTCATCTTTTTCCATTATTAAAAAAGACATCTATACCTAGAGCTGACGTCACTTTTATTTTCTAAAGATGGCTCATTATGTATACATTGTTACAGTTGTAGAAAAATCCAAGGAGAACTAGGAAAAAAGAGAAAGCAGATTAGTGAGGAGAAAAAGAGAAAAGACTTAAGGAAACAGAGAAGTACAGAAAATTGAAAAGAGCTTTAACTAGTCAGACTCTGCAGTGAACAATTTAACCAGGCCCCTACCCCTACTTCTGACTCTTAGTACAAACCAGCAAAGGTGGGAGATACCCTGCTACATTGAAAATAACTGGTCTAAAACATTTTTCACAAGTACTAATTATGTTGGCCAGATACAAAAATGGTTGAACAAGCAATCACTAGAACACAGATTAAATCATCATACACTTTATGAATAGGGACAAAGTCAAAGACAAAGATTAGTGTAACATAAATACAATTCCTGGTGGCATAAAATACTTTGAGTATTTCATCATCCTCAAGCATTCAGCACTATCAAATTTGTTTGAAGAATCCATTGTGATGTTTGTGTTTACATAGTGACAAACCCATCATACTCATTTGCAAATAAAATAAAATTTGAAAATTAATGTTCCCATTTCTATGGTAAATTTTTGCCAGGAAGTTATTTACTTATTTTCTATTCCATTTAGTCCTCCCACTTCTCAAGTTGCTTTGGCGCAATTTCAATTTACCACTGTGGTCCCTATGGTTATAAATCTGTTTACCCAGTTTGTAACCAAATTCATTTTGAATGCATAAGAAACCATCCTAAGTTCGGAAGTACACACAGCACAGGGTAAGACATGAACAAACTTTAAAACCTGTCTAGAAAATACTCAATTCAGAAGCCATAAAACAAGAAAACAAAATTCAAATGTCTACTTTAAAAAAAAAAACTGCTTTTCTACCTGAATCTTATGAAGCAGCAGTGACTACCACAAATATAAACTTTCGTTTTCTTTCAATGGTGGAATTTAGTCAATATATTATTTATAGGTCAATAAATAAATTCCATACCCATACAGAGATGCTTTTAAAAACCAGTAATATTTTAAGAAAAACTAATGCATCCTAGGCTTTAAGAAAGCAAACACACGGAGAGAGGCTTCATTCTTTTCAAGTTCAACCTCCACTTCTCTTGTGTGATTCAAAACCTTTTCCAGATTCTACAATCTCAACTAAAAAATAGTAAAATGAAGTGCTGAATAACTGCAATTTAAGAAGATAATCCAGAGAGGAAAACAGTACAATGAAAAAGAGTGGGATTAAAGGCTGGATTGCCCAGACTAGAAGCCTTTACTAGTGTGGGTAGCTGTTAAACTCCTTACTTGACTCACTCTACTGAGCTCCAAATACAACTAAAGATTTTTTTTTAATTTATTTCCTTCCAGGACATCTGCTCTGGGATCACTTGGCAGTGTATCTGCACATCCCTCACACTAGGGCAAATTTCACATGCACTTCATGTTAACCCATTAACTACAAAGCAGAAGACAAAATTACCTATGACAAAAACCTCAGGAGGTTAAGATTTATTTTCCCACATCCTGATTTCCCTCCTAAAGCAAAACTTTACAGTAAGATGTATTTTTCCTTCAGATTGCTCCTTCACAGGTTAGTGAAAACACCACATGCCTGAATAAAGAGAATTCCTCAGAACATGGTTTAAAAGGTCAAAGGATAATTTTGCATTGCTTTACCTTCTAAAATGCTTTTGGCCAGCAAACTGGGTGCCCTGACTTGCCTCTGATAGACGGCTTTGCGCTCGAAATTATTCTGTTTCCCAGAAAGACCTTTCTTGTCCTGTAAGTACAAGAAACATAATCAATAATGCCCTGAAAAGAAACGAAAAAAAAAAAAACAAAAACAGGAGAGATGGGAGAAGGAAGAGACATCAGCAACTCTCCCTGGTCTAAATGTATTTATTTTCCTATCCCATGTGAAAATGATTCTAAACGAACTAACGTCAGCATCCCTTAATTCCAGAACAATGACCTGTCCAAAGCCTCCAACTGGTGAGCAGCAACCCAGCTTTCTCTGGGGTCGCTTTTCTAGAGTTACCCCAGATCCAGCCTGCAGCCAGAAGCGGGGAGACATCCTGGGAGATGAAACCCACAGTGGACGAGAGGGTAGGTGCCTAGCCGTGAAAGAGAGATGTGCCTCGGACCGCTGCGTCCTCAGAGCCCAGGCTAGAGCCCAAGGTGCCTGAGATCCGAAAGTGGCCTATGACCTGGGGCTGGTTTCTCCCCGAAGTAGGAAGGATGGGACAGGGTGCAGGGAGTTGAGCGAGAAAACTCAAAACTTTTCAGGTCTGGCTAAAAACTCACTATCCTTCACTGAGACAATGGGGCACCTGAAGGCAAACAAAACCCTCGGAGCCCGCAGGTGACGCAGGACAAGAGGACCCCACCTTTGCTCCCTCCAGCACCGCCATCCTACGCCCGCATCCCAACCAGCAGGCCTCAGGGAGCCTGAGGGAACGCAGAGCCCACAGTGCAACACGCCGCACATGGGAGGACGCCGAGGCCCAAGGCCCAGGACCGCCTCAGGCATTCAGTGCCCTGCGCTCTCCGAGCCCTTGGGAGGCTTCCCATTAAGGTCACTGCCTCCCGTGTGTACGGTGACCCACTCCCGAGCCCCTTCTCACCGAAAACTAAAATCAAAAATCCTCCCACACCCCGAATCTGGGAGGTGTCCCGCGCGGCCTTCCTCGTTCTGACCGCTCTTCTGCAGAGACAGTCCGAGGTTCAGGAGGAGCCTCTCCCTTAAAGAAAACCCAGGCTCTCCTCACAGCAGTAGCTCCACCGTGGGAAACGGCAGAGATCCGTCCACCGGTTCTTCGGTAGTTCTCACGGCCAGAAGCTAACTTCCCACGACACTTTCGGTCTCATCTGTAAAACAGGCAGCACGTTCTCTCTCTCCTAAACAAACGGCCCGTGACAGCGGAAGCGCCGTGAGCACTACGTGCTGCGTGGCTCTTTCTCGCGTTCAGCGCGGGCAATACAGCGACGAGCATCGCAGTGGACGTCGTGCACTTCATCCACCGCTGTCCTCCTCCCCGGAACACCACCAAAATAAATGTTAAATATAAAAACTAGAAATAAAACATCTTTCTCGTGATGTCGAAATGAGACTAACCACTTTCAGGGCCTCTCTGCCTGCTTCTCAATACACAATCTTTTCTGCCAAGTTCCCCAGCGATGGCCAGGGCTTCCTCCCTCCTAGGACCCTGGACCTCTGCAGGCCAGCGTGGCCAGAGAGGTGTCCTCACCATCCTTCCGAGGACGTGCCAGGGACCTCAAAGCCCGGGC